GATCTATTAGCAATTCGATTTCAATTCCCAGGGGCCTAAAATCTTTTATGCTTAAGAATTGCAAAGTGATTTCTTAGGAAATTCAGAGGTTGCGTTTTTTTATACACCCTGTACAACTGCTGTTTTCAGAGGTTTGGTCCATTTTGTCGATATTAATATACCATTTTATATCGACTAATGTTTACGAAACGTAAGTTAATTATTAAGCAGCTGTTAGCGTGCGTGCCATGAAATGAACGTTTATAATGTTTATCCATATAAGGAGTTTTTATTTTCAGTTTACCAGCCTTTATATTTGAATAGCCGAGTTCATATTTATAGGGACGCGAAACTCGTCTCAGAGGCGTGTAGCCAAGGCTGAGGCCGGGGAAGCTCGCCCCCTCCCCCTGGCAAAATTTCCCCCCCCCCCGGCCCAATGTTGGGGGCCTCTGATAAAATGTGTTGTATAAAAAGGGAATCCTTGATTATATAGCTTCATGCTGTCAATAATGCAAAAATTCTGTAGAATATATGCTTTGCTGGGCATGGGTGTGAAACTTAAAATCACTTGTTCGCTTATTTGCGGCACACAGCTTGAAACACATACCTTTTCTAACCCTAATTACTTCAATATGTATTAAATGAGGGTTAGACGAAGTTTAAACCAATCAGTTTCTTTTTACAAGTGAATTTTTAATGCGGGCTCGGCAGTGGCACCGTGGCCGAAGGGGAGGGGGGGGGGGATTGGGAGGGGGAGACCCGTCGGAAAATTGAGACCTGTCGGAAAATTGTCAATAGAGAGTTTGAGCAAGACAACGAAGTACGAAGACGAAGGCGTACTTGCCAATTTTTGCCGTCTGCACATTATCTTGCGCATATTGAGTTGGACGTCACTGGTGGTTGCTCAACGTGTCTTCCCATCTGTCGCTGTTTATGCATACTGACCCTAATTCTTGCCCTGACCCAGAAAAAAACAGCGAGACATGAAACTATATCCCGTTTTTGTCCTTCTGCCTTCGTTCGGAACGAAGTTCACAGCGAATTTTGCCAAAAATTTTGCGAATTTCTCGTTGTGAACGAAGGCAGAAGAACGAAGACGAGATATGGATTCATGTCTCGCTGTTTAGTCCTGATCAGGGTAAGGATTTGGGTCAACATTCATAAACAGCTAGACATAAATCTCTAATCTGTCTTCACGCCTCACTCTAAACTCAGAATGCGTAAGATCATAATGTGCAAGACAGGCAAAAATTGGTCCACGGTCCACGTCGTCGTCGTCCGACTTCGTTCTCTAGATCTTGCTTAAACTCTCTAATGTTGTCGGAATCTTAATTTCGTGGTGAAGCATTGGAAAAAGTGATACGGAAATCGGGAAATGTGCTACGAAAGCAATTGTAATGTTATTGTCCAGAAAATTTTTTTACCGAAAAAGTTCTCGACGGGGGAGGGGAGGGGGGAGATTAGTAAAATGTTGTGTAGTCCGCAAATTTTTTTCTTGCGCGAACTTTGTGTCTCGAGTCCCTGGCGGCTTGGCCCCACCTGGGTTTTTGCCGACCCCCTCTGACCGAAAATCCTGGCTACGCCTCTGGAGTGATGGCGACGGCCATTCTGTTTTGAAATCAAGAACGTGAAACTACATTGACTGTGGTGCTTGCTTTCAAACAACAACTCATGCTGACGCCATCACTCGCCATCTATAACGGTTCGACTGAGTTGGCGTACGTGTTGTCAAAATCGTCTGTAATGTCTGTAAACTCAGGCATGTACTATATATAATGTCTGTAAACTCAAGCATGAAACTCTAAGTAACAGCCTATTTCAATGGGGCGGTGTAAGTGAATTTTTGCCGACTCATCTCAACCACTATTAATTAATATTTCTTGGGTGAAGCGTACGCGGCTGAACAATAATTTTTTTTCCGGACATTATATTTTCATTTTCCTTCATTGACTTGGATTCAATAATTTGCCGACTACCTGACGATTGGGGGTGTTCCCCCCTCCAGCGACGTTTCTGGCCCTACTATACAGAGAAACTGGAATTGTTCATACACACACACACGCACACACATATATATATATATGTGTATATATATATATATATATATATATATATATATATATATATATATATATATATATATATATATATATATATATATATATATATATATATATCATTGAACTATAAATAAACTGGAAGGCTAACTCAGGGGGGGAAATTGAAGCCAGTGCATTTTAGTTTTTCTGAGTTATGAGCAGAAATACTCAACACTGAACGTTGGGCTATATATCAAATTGAAGCTATTGAAAAACGCTATTCGGTGTAGAAATTTCAAGACTTTAGCTAAAAGGGAAATATCAAAAAATTACAAACATAATTACCGATAATTTGCCGTTTTGCAGTTGTTTTTGTATTTTTAAAATATTTTTCTTTTCGCTGAAGTCGTGAAATTTCCACACCAAATAGAAATTTTCAATAGCTTCAATTTGATATATAGCACGACGTTTGGGGTCAAGTATTTCTGCTCATAACTCAGAAAAACTATTTTGGCTTCATCAAATCATAGGCCTTCATCATAGCAGTTAGCCTTCCAGTTTATTTATAGTTCAATGGCTGCCCTGGACTGCGCCAGTAATTCTCCGACGGGGAGAGTCATCGGTGCTCTCTTTCGATCTTTGGCAATTGGAATTAAAAAACACAAAAAACTACCAACAAGTGACCAGGGCCGGATTAACGCCGCGCGAAGCTCGTGGCAGATTTTAGCGCGACCCCCCCCCCCCCCCCCCCCTCCGCCTTCTTATAAAAACCTTTGAATTTAAAGACACACAAAATTGTTAAATAATTTTTTTCAATATTTCAATTTATTAGCATCAATTATAAACAAGACAATGGCCTGCCTGGCCCAGTTGTTGGGTCAACATGTATAGACATGATCATAATATAACAGCTCAACGCAACTGAAAATTATATGCACTCGAGTATTGTATATTTTCCCGAGGCCGTGCTGGGGCCAACTGCTAAGCCTAGGGGCCGTAAATGCGCGTGCTCGCTAAATTCGCGAGGCACTTAAAATGGCCGTGTTCTCGTTAAAATGGGCGTGACACAGTAAAACGCAAGGCCGTGTGGTTAATCCGGCGTTAAATGAGCAACAAGCTTTCATTTTTTTAAACGCTACGTCTGGGGGAGACAATAATAATTTCTGGTGTCGCACTGGGCTAACATATCTCAATGCCATATTTTTGGGTACTAGTACTTGTGGAATATAATAAGATCTATAGACAATAGTGTATCCAAATAACTGTAATTTTACTGATTATTTTAACTGTGCATCAAAGTGAACACACATTAAAATAATTATTCTAAACTATTTGATATAATTTGAGTTTGAGGTGGTAATAAAATAACAAATCCTTGTAAGGGGCGGACCATTAGAAAAGTGAGGGGGGGGGGACAAAAATAAAATTCGAGCTGGGAAAATAGAAAGAAAAAAAAAATTTGTGCACCAGAAATGTCTGAAAAAAAATTCGTGCAGAGACTTTTCATTAGGGAAAATTACAGGACCTATCGGAGGTACAGTGTAAGGGTGTCCCCTAAATTTCGAAAATAAGCGTTTTCATCGTGTTTTAAGAAGTTTTTTGGGGGAAAATGTGTTTTAAACCTTAATTGAAATGATGTTAGCCCGAAAAAAATTTTTTGACCCTATATTTCTTTGTCCTGTAAAAATTTTTGAGTCCGGAATCGCCAGCAATTTTTGGGGAAAAAAATAAAATTCGAGCAAGGGATTATTAAAAAAAAAATAACCGACACAGCCAAACATTTAGAGAAAAAAATCGTGCACGTTGAAAATGGACCACCCCCCCACCCCAATCACTTTTCTAATGGTCCGCCCCTAAGGATAAATGTGCATTTCACACGCACGCTATTAACAACTGCTTAATAATTAACTTATGTATTATTCGTAAACATTTATACCCGATAGTCGATATGTAAATGTACATTATATGGATCAAACTGGACAAAACAAAAATTAAAGTTCTAATTTTGGGAAATTTAGTAACAAATAAACCTTAAACAGCTCATCGATTTGTATGTTAGCGCTATTAAAAGTAGACAAATATTAAACAGTGATCTGAAGTTATCATGCAACTGACAACAATGTTATATCCCAGGGTGCATTCCGTGTAAACCTCACGCCGAATATAATCTGAGGTAGTGTTGCCGTGCGCTAAGTGAGGTCAACTTGTGCGCCGTCTGATCGTGGGCACCGCGATTTTTCATTAATAGTTAGTTTTTCAAAATTAAAACTTGCTAAAAAGGCGTGTAATTGATGAATAAGATGTTTTGCTGATGAGCAATTATGAGTGTTGTTACTGTTGTATCACAAGTTAATTATAACCACCATTTAGTAATATTACACTGACTAGGAACACAAATTTCTCGAGTCCCTAAAAAATTATAGAGGCCAATCCAATCACCAGGCGATTATTACTACTCAAAATCTCGCTTAAACATTTGATGCTGCGCCAACCACCAAAACTCAAAAATTGTGCGCCAACCTCGACGTGATTGTGCGCCAACAATTCAAAACTCACGCCGAAGATCTTCCACAAAACGTGCATGGAATGCACTCTGGGTTATATCTCAAAATACTTGTATATGATGATATTTCACAAATATATCGGAATTTCTGGACCAATTTTATACTTATAGCAAGAAAAAAAGGTTTCCATTCAAGAATATATCTTCTTCTCAAAAGGTAAAATACTTGGAATACTTGTTTAAATTGTTTACTTCGATGGTATGTAAATTAACAGCGTTTGATTGCAAAACGTCAAAAACGGACGATTTTAACGCGCTGTCGTTTATCGGGTATTCATTTGCCAAAAGTATTTGCGTCAATTGAAAGCTTGTTTATTAAAGAACCAACAAATAGAAGTATGATCTATTTGGAGCTTTATCGCATGGTAAAAATCGGTTTTGTTAAGAGGGTATCGTAATTCGTAAATGATGTAAGATAGTGTGCTTCGAAACTACGATTATTTCTATTCCTAAAAGTAACTCAGATTTTCTGTAAGTCACATATCCGGTCCTTTGAATAACCGAAAACAAGATTTTTAGGGTTTTAGATCGATTAGAAACAACTGTCGTCGTGAAATTTGTCGGTAAAATCAGCGCATATTTTTCCAGAGAAAATGGCGATTTAGCTAGGGTGGTCGTGTTAAAACGGCATTTTCTCAAAGTTAAAAAAGCATTTGACCTAAAAAAATATATGGTGCATTTTCCCATATAACAAGACGCCTACTCAGGCGTTCACTCCGCCTGCCGGCCTGCGGAGAAAATGGGGACAATGTAGGGTGCGACGGAAAAGTGAAGCCAAATACAAGCATTCAAAGACAAGTTGGTGTTCATAGCATTCAAAGATAAGTTGGCATTCATGGCATTCAAAGTTAACTTGGCATTCAAAGGAGCAATGGCATTTACAGACCCTTTACACACTTCTTTGAATTTTCATAAGAAAGTGCCATAACCTATAAGAGACAGAAATAGGATATTAATTCTGACACACCAATTCTGTTTGGCCCATCATTGTAATAATAGAGGCCCAAAAAGCATGTTTGAGTGGCTTGGTAGGTATTCTGCCCAGAGTCCTAGTAGGGTTGAATTAAATACATTACACAACACATAGTATCTATTAACACACAAGGGCAGTAGAAAGAGCAAAGCAAGCAAACCCAAGCTGGCTGTGAGTTCAAGAAGCTGACGTTTCTGTTATTTGTTAACATGACTATATATCATAGATTATATTCTTGTCTTGCAACCAATCCCTTGAGAATTAATAGAATGTGCGAAATTCAGTAAAAAATAATGAGATTCTTTGTCTTAATACTACCACATGGCTGCCGTTTCCGGTAGTTGCGTACTAAACGTGTATAGTAAATTATAAACACGACAGCTTCAATACTACATTTCCTAAACTCTTCAAAACATTGAAATATATTTAATAACCCGATAGCCTCAACACTACATAGCCTAAACTCTTCAGAACATTGTAGGGACCTTTCACATAAGAATATATTTTGCTAGTCAAGAATATAAGATCGACATTACGACATACAGTAGGACTGTAGGAGTGAATATTTTTATTTATATTTATGACTTTAAAGAATTTCTTGTTGCCAAAATGCAGCATGTACTACCAAAATTAGAATGTTTAGTATCCCTTACCTCAGTTGAGTCTGGAAGCTTTGTCTTGACATTCATCTTTTTAGTATTTTTCATCGTTTAGTATTTTTCATCGCACAAGACCGTTTCGCAGTTCGCAGTTTAGAAAAATACTGTAAGCAGAGCTGTAAGCATGCGCATTGCGCTGCCAAATCGTATAACATTATCCACAAATGTCAATAGAAAGTATCTAAATATCATGGAATGTACACATTTATCAAGGAGCCTGTTTGTGACACTGACGACAGTCGACAACCGACAACAGACTCAGGCATTTTTAGACTCCGCATGCGCAGGCGGAGTAACAAGAAAGGTTACCTCGAAACGCAACAAACAGACTCCTCCAAAAGCAACAAACAGACTCCTCTACTACCCTTCCCTGAGATCAATTTTAATTTACCACAAAATCTGCGTGACACGTGACCAGCCCCGCCCAAATTCTGTATGCAAATATAAAAAACGTTCGTGGGAACAAAGTTGGTATGTCTTGAGGATCTGGGCCGCTCGGGGTTTGGGCGACAGCTCTTTTTTCCCCTAAAAAAGTTTTTACGTATAATACCTGGGGATCTGTCCTCCCATAGCAGGCTCACGTCTGTGAGTTTTGCCGTAGTTTCATAGAGGAGCCGACAAACATAATAATAGATAATTTCAGGTCATTTCGTTAAATAGTAATTGAGTTATCCTTTTTAAAAGATTTCCGGATGATTTTCCAATTTATTATTGATTATAAAACAAGTATTAAAATATTACTAAAGGAGTATATCCACTTTCAGTCAAAATGTACCAAAGGCATATGTTTCTCCCTCTTTAACCTTATTTTTGTCCTCTCTTTCTCCCCCCCCCCCCCC